ATTATACTGACCACGAAAATCCCATGCATACCGGCATAATGTGTGTGCAGAAACTTCAGAGAGATTACGAGCAGACTAATGACCGCAGGGCTTGCTTTTAGGCGAGAGATCAATAAAACAAACAAATGAACCAGATATTAAATAACAGTTAACTTTCGTCTAAAAGACCTTTTTAATTAAGAAGCAGCAATTAAGTCGGTTGGAATATCGACCGTCATGTGGTACAATCCCATGACATTTCATAAACACCAGAATGTTGGCCGTCTGCAAAAATGAAACTCGTAAAATATCGAAGATTTAAGTAGCATGGATGTTAGTGTTGATTTTCGATGGCTTTCTTAGGCATCATTCCTTGCACTCTGTTGATGGCAATTTAAGTGTTTTCAAAACTCTTGTACCCGAAGAAAGCGTATTTTTTAGATATAAAGAATGGTTTTCTGCCAAATTGTTGTCTAGATTTTTTGGTCTTCAAGCTCTTCGTTCCCTGTGTAGAGGACGGCATATACGACCCTCTGTCATAAAAAAAGTTACCATGCCTTGTTCATAAAGTGGTGCAATAGATGTGGACAATGCTCTAGGAGGGGCATTGATGAACGGACACAATGGACATATGGTACTTCCTCGTCCCGTCGTACAGTCACTTTATGTTTATGTATGCGCAATCCTAGCATACGTTCAGCTCCGTACAGCTCGATGGATAGAGTTGAGAGTGCGGAAATCAAGGGAATCGCTCTTGTGCTCAGGGACCCAAACAGGTACTCACTCGGAACAGTCAAAACCAAGATTCACACTGCTTGCTGAGGTCAAGAGGTATAAGCCCTAGCGTTGGTAAACTCAGTGCCGCCTCCGACAAATTATAGCGCTACTGCTAGCACCAGTACTATTACACTTGATGTTGAGATTGAGGGAATATGAGCCTAATGCTGACTTTAACCGGCTTCACTTCTGACCTACAATACAGTCAGTAATAGTACCAGCAAATACTATCACTCACCTGCGCCCTAGTGAGTAATATAAGAAATAACAGTAGTGGTAGAAGCAGTACCAGCCCTGGCTTCCTAGAGTCTGGCTAGACACCTACAATGGGCGAGTGAGGGTAGACAGTGCAGTAGTACCCACGCAAAGTTTACTGTGTCTAAAGGTTAAGGTTAGGTGGTTTTTCAGGCTGCACTGGAGAAGGCGGCTTTCGCCCAAAGCCTGCTTCGTCATCTCGACTTCCGTCTTGTCAACGATTTACTGCGGTGGAGGGTTAGAGTGAGGTAGACAGTTGCGCATTTATTTCACAAAAATCGTGTGCTTAGCTCGATTTACCGTCTCTGCTCTTGAGCGCATGGTGGACGTCATCGAAACCGATGGCCATACAACACATATGTGACCTTGCCAATAGCATTGAATATGCGAGTTCCAGGAAGCAGTTCAGAAGAAGAAGAATAAGAAGAAGAAGAAGAAGAAGAAGAAGAAGAAGAAG